CTGCTACTGCTACTGCTACTGCTGCTGCTACTGCTACTGCTACTGCTGCCGCTGCGATTACTGCGACTGCTACTGGTTCTGATATTGTCGCTGCTCTTGCTGTCGCTATCGCTATTGCTGAGCGACGGCGATTACGAAAACAGAGCTATTTCGTTAGGAGTTCGTTAACGAACGCTCAGCTTTGTTTTGCCTCACAATAATTAGATTTGCGTCGCGTAAATGATTTTAATGCAATAATAATACTAACGCGAGTGAATTGCTACCCGTAGGCAGTAAGGGCGGTTGTGCGCGTGTTTCCATACCTCGTACCTCTACACACACACACACACACACACACACACACACACACACACACACACACACACACACACACACAGGCACAGACACACACGCACACACACGCACATACAGGAAGAGAAGCACGCACACGCACACACACACACACGCGCGCGTGCTAGTGTAACACTGCTGTACGGTGTGTATAAATTGCATTTTCTAAAGAACTAAAAGATTCTAAACCCAATTACATAAATGAATTAATGCACGCTGTACGATTTGTGTATGTGCGTGCGCGCATGCGCGCATGTGCGTGTGTGAATACATGAATACATGTACGTGCGCACGTTCGTGCATTTTAATGAGTATACGGGCGTGCGTACGTATACACGTGTGTGCGTGTGTGCGTGCGTGTGTGTGTGCGTGTGTGCGTGCGTGTGTGTGCTTGTGTGTGTGTGAGTGAGTACGCGTATAGACACGTGTATAAGTAATAAGTGTATAAGTGTATAAGTAATAAATCTACTCCGTGTCAACCGCTTATTAAAGTCTCTATTTCAAACATTTCCCCGATATTTTCCATATTTTCCTAACCGTTTTCATATTTCCCCGACTATTGCGACACTTACTAGCGCTGAGAGGGTCTATGTTCCCCGGGGTACTGCTGTAACGTACCCTGGTACTATCTAATATGCCGAACCGTACCTACCCTACTCCACTAACGAGTCTAGGGAGTCGCCTACGCCTACTCCCTAACCCTAACCCGAACCCGAACCCGAACCCG